TTTGCAAAACTTTTTTTATTCGCACGCTTGCATGAGTTTTGGGGCTCCCGGAGGATGTCATCCATATAATCAAATCAACACGGCCTAACTGTAAAGTGCTACCTGGCTTTCAGTACCAAGGGCAGGTACTGCTGGGACGCAGTACAAATATGGTGGTACTATTATATTTCAATGGTGCTGAAAGTATGGCAGTACTATTACATGTCCTTGGTACTGAATGCATGGTAGTATTATTACATGTCCTTGGTACTGAATGCATGGCAGTACTATTACATGTCCTTGGTATTGAATGCATGGTAGTACTATTACATGTCCTTGGTACAGAATGCATGGTAGTACTATTACATGCCCTTAGTACTGAATGCATGGTAGTACTATTACATGTCCTTGGTACTGAATGCATGGTTGTACTATTACATGTCCTTGGTACTGAATGCATGGCAGTACTATTACATGTCCTTGGTACTAAATGCATGGCAGTACTATTACATGTCCTTGGTACTGAATGCATGGCAGTACTATTACATGTCCTTGGTACTGAATGCATGGTTGTACTATTACATGTCCTTGGTACTGAATGCATGGTAGTACTTTTACATTTCACTGGTACTGAAAGTATGGCAGCACATTGTTAACATTGAACCCAACAGCTGCAAAGGCAAATTCCTCATTTTTATTACACCAATTTATCACGTTATTGACATAACATATCAGAAAACAAATACACTTTAATAACACTTACTGGCTAGAATTTATTGCGTTTACTTTAAAATAAAATAATTGTATTTGCATTTTGGATAAGGGAAAGACCAGATATTACAATGAAGGGGAATGAATTACAATTTCGTATGTTTTGAATTTTATCATTTTATTATGATATTGTTATTAATCTTTATATAGCCTTATCAATTGTTTCATGGTCTTCGGCCATACGCCTTGATACGGAATACACCATGTTGTATTCTCTATATCACATAAGGCCCCCCTTCCCGTATTCAATAGCTAGCTACGCCGAAACCAGGGGTGCCAGAGTATACAGTGCAATTTTACGGAATACAGTACAATTTTACGGAATACAGTACAATCGTATTATTATACAGTGCAATTTTACTAGTATACAGTGCAATTTTATTAGTAAAATTGCACTGTATATGAATGCGATTGCACTGTATTCCGTAAAATTGTACTGTATACTAATACGATTGCACTGCATTCCGTAAAATTGCACTGTATTCCGTAAAATTGCACTGCATTCCGTAAAATTGCACTGTATTCCGTAAAATTGCACTGTATACTCTGGCACCCCTGGATACGTGCCCCAGACGACAGCTGACTATATTACACCTAACGACCTGTCACACTTAACCTTTGCACATCTCACTCAAGACGCGGGTCTCTAGCTACCTAGTGGGGACTTCCGTATCGTACATGACGGCAGCGAGTTCCAATCTACCATAACTCTTGTCTATAACCTTCGCCTTGTCTGGTTTACCGCTCAACAACAAATTCTCCTCGTACGCAAAAGGTGAAATGCGATACGACACGGTAGCAGCTGTATACGTCACGATACGGAAAGCGTATCCTGCGTCCCCATATACGTGATACGGCCTTAAAAGGTTTGTTGGCAGGTTAGGTATCAGGTGGGCAGTATACATAGAGAAGACCTGATTCTATACTGTAGCTATTGTATAACACTGTAATGTTATGTACTGCCAGGGTTATATATGTACAGAAAATAGAGCTTTTTAAATGTTCGCTTGTTGTAACACACTATACGTCTTGATTTTGCATGCAAATTGTTCTGAGGAAAATTACGAATACCTGCTCCCATTTTGTAGCTTTAATTTTAGATACCATTGTAACGTCATTTTTTTTTGTTTAATTTTTACTTAGTGGTCGCCACGCACGTAACACGGCCGTTAGGTCACTTCAAGGTGAACGGTGCTACCACCTGAATGGTATCACCACTCACCTGGGTTACAGGTTACCGAGTAGAACTGTAACAGCAACTCTTCTCCCTGAGTCAGAAACATCATGCACTGTTAGGACTATAGGATTATGTGTGTGGGGGGGGGGGGAATGGAGATAGAAACAATGACGAATTTCAATTGTTTTAATTCCTGCTTGTCTAGTGCTTGTGATACACCACAAGCCTTGATTTTACAAATGGTTTTGAAGAAAATTACGAATAACTGTTCTTATGCTGTACCTATTGGATATCATTTTAAAGAAAGCCATGTCAGTGTTATGTGGGAAAAACTAAACCTAGAAGGACAAAGTATAAATAAATAGCAAAGTTCTTTGATCACAACCATTTATTTTTCACGACCAAAGTTGTGATCAAAGAGCTTTGCTATTCATTCGTTTACCAACCTGATGAAATTATTTTCAAGTTTAATTTTGAGGACAAAGTTTAATTTTTCAATGCTTGTTTGAAAAGTGTTTATGACACACCAGATACCTTGATTTTGCAAACAGTTTATTTAAATATTTTTTTTACAAATAGTACTGTAGAAAATAACGGTTTTCTCTGGCTTTTCCATTTTAACAATGGGACAATTCCATGTCAATATGTGTATCAAAAATTGGAGATCTGTTGGAGGCATGTACTTCATATTGTCTAGCGGAGTTATTTATTATTATTTTTTATTTATTTATTGAGATTGTAACAATACAATACGCGTGGAACAAAGGCAGCTGTTGCTAGTGTTGTGTCCCACACATAGAACAAATACGGGACAAATACTCATTTTCACTTGAGTTAAGTGAGGAAAGTCGTGTTAAGTGCCTTTCCCAAGGGCACAAGATCGGTGACATGTCAGGACTCGAACCCAGGACCTCTTGGTTCCGAGTCGCGTTATAGCGCCTTTTGTGCAGCTTTGTGTTATTTGTTTTCAATAGTACCGGCTTAAAGCTTAGGCGAGTCATTTTAGCGGGTGGCTCTAGTGCGGTCCGCCCGTCCTTTTAATATCCTGTCTGCATACCTCACCTCTCTTACCCGTACATAAGGACACGCGAGTCAGACAAATCCATTATTCCTGAAAAAAAAACTGTTTGTTTACATACATGTGCTTTTACATATACATTATGCAAACATTGTGGGGTCGTGTGGCGTAGCGGCACTGTGGCGTAGTGCTCGACTCGGAACCAAGAGGTCCCGGGTTCGAGTCCTGACATGCCGCCGATCTTGTGCCCTTGGGAAAGGCTTGTCGTATACGTTGCTAAGTACTGCCGCAAATTCAAAATACCAGCTTTGTATTCCTGTGGTTTAGTAGCATTTTTATTTTTGGCCGGAATTTTTTTATCCGCCCGCGCGCACTAGTTTGGGGGTCTTCAGAGGATGTCATCCATTAAATTAAGTCGGTGTGGCCTAAAATACTGTCTGAATCAGTTATGTCAGTGTCTGTATTTTTCCTCGAAATCTCCTACAAAAAAAGCAGGAAATGCCATTTTAGAAGGTTCAATTTTAAAATTTTCCGGTGGTCCCTTAGTTACTACCCCCACCCCCAGAAAATCCTGGCCAATTTCATGTCTTGTGTAGACCATGTATATCACTTATAGTAATGATAAATTCAGATATTGAATTACAGCGGATGAATATAATACAGGTATCAGCCAGTCACTTGAGTATAAGGTATAAGTACAATGTATAAGAAAAATGTGATATCTAACGAAGCTAACTTTAATACTCCCGCAAAACTCTTCCTAACGAACCTTCCCTACTCTGTTTTGATTCAGGAAATCTACCTGCTGGTGACTCCCCCAAGACAGCATCAATGGAACTCCCCTATATGAAAAAAATGTCCCTTGAGTACAGACGGGTTATGACATGAGAGCCACTCTCTCGCGATTTTTATTGTGAACGGATCTTTGGTTGGTGGTCGTGTGGTTTGTGAGAAAGATGTCGACCTGTGACGGGTCCAGTCAAAATATAACGCCCGGTAAAGCAGCATTTCCAGGCGCCGGTTGTGTAACGGCCTCCCGGGAGGATGTGAGAAACTTGGGGGTCTTTTACATAGATACACGTCCAACGGCGTTGCCTGGCGACCAATCAGCCGCCTTCACCGCTGTCAACCAATCAGCAGCCTTCACCGAGACTACGTCAGAATCAGACGGTCGAACGCGCCCGGGAGACGCCGTCCCGCGCTTTTCTCCTTCGGGGGATTGTGACAAAAGCAAAAACATCACGACTTCGGGAAACACAAGGCCCGGTGAGAAAGGCCACGGCCACAATGGGATTACCGGGATTTCTGAAGCGGAAAGTGCGAGCTTATCGCAAGGTGGGAATGGAGGGAAAAAATCCCTGAGTGAAAATTCAAACGCCGTTTTGACAAACGGTAACTCTGAAGGACACTGTGTGGCCCCGTTGGATACGGCGGGAAACTGCGATTCTGCGCCAAAAAGCCCTCCCCGCCAGGCCTCAAGCCTGATTTACGTCGAGCCAAACACCGAAAGCCATTCTAGTGAGACCGGGGGAGGTTGTGAGGCCGGCGGGGAGACAGAGACATCGGAACAGTACGTCAACTCTGACGTCAACCTCAACTCCCCTCATCTTCACCACGGCTGCAATCAGGCCGTGACAAACTTCTACCATAGCAACGGTTCCCATGACAACGTTACCGGGTTGGCAACCAGCCCTCGGGGCTCGGTAAGAGACAGGAGACAGGCGTACAAGTTACAAGGCAGATCGAGCCCGAGTCCGACCGCTGATATCGAGGCCGCGGCTGGGCACGGCTCTCTCCGGGACAGCAGTGAGGTTGGACCCGAGGAGAGCTCTGACCCATCTCGGATGAAACAGGAGACTAAAACTGTCAACCCAGAAGGAAAATGCGAATATAATGCGAATAAAAACAATTCTGATAACAGCTGCTTGCAAAGAAATGAAGTGGTAAATGCTTCTGCCAAAGAGATAGATACAAAGAAACCACCTGAAACGAACGGTTTAGGACGAGGCGATCTTGATGCGAAACTAGCGGGAAACTCGACTTCTGGTACCCCGTTAGGATTAGAGCAGCCTGGGCAGCTCTGGCCACAAGACGTGCGGGAGCTCCGTAAGAAAGGAGCGTGGCATCTACGCAAGCTTCGCACAAACTCCACGGAGAGCAACAAGAGCACGCGCTCAAGGGAAAACTCGCCACACAAAAAGAACTCGGGCAGCGAAAACTGTTCGAGCTTACCAGAATTCGACATACGGGCAGGAGCCGGAAAACTTAAAGAAACTGGAGAGAATCACCTGTCTGTATCGAAACACGAAATCATTAGAGATGTGTCAATCAACAGTTGGAGCCAGGTAGTCATTCAAGAGGAGGAGGAGGAGTGTTCCCAGGATCCTTTGCTCGCCTCGTCCTTACATCCGGGGTCCGGGGTCACGCCTGCGCAGAGCCACCCGTCCTGGAGGCATGACAGTCTAGCGTCGGAGCCGTCGGACCGGCTGAAGTGGGACGACTCTCGGCACGGCAGCGCCACCTCCGAGCAGCTCTCGCTCAGGTGGGACTCCCGCCAGGAGAGCGTCGCGTCCACCGGGCCGCTCTTCAGCGGCTGGGCGGAGGACTCGACCAGTTCGCGCGGGGAGGAGACGGACGCGGTCCCGGAGCTGATCACCATGGGCCGCCGGGCGGTGAAAAGTAAACTCCTGTGGCACACCGCGCTCACCAGGCTCACACAGGAGATGCAGGTGAGTACAGCAGGCTGATGAAACTATACTGTATATAGATCAGTATTTTTATCATTTTCTGCAATTTCAGAACAAAAAAAAAACAAAAAAGACAATATTCTGGGTTAAAAAATCTGATATTGGCATTTACTGCCGTTTCTTGGCACATTTCTGTCATTATTTCATACCTTGAGCGTTTGAAATAGCCCCAAAACAAGCTACGCGAGGCGTCTCTTTATGTTTTTGTCACCAACCACAACCACGGCTACAACCAGCCTATGGTACATAACAACCATTTTCCGTTAGCGACATCGCATTTTTGCCTCAGAGATATCAATATGCTATGGGATAGTATTGATTCAGCTTACTACTTGAAAAGAATGACCAGAAAACTGACTCCAGTTTGTATTGGATTCCCCCAATGTTATATAGGTAATTGTGGAGTAACGTAGGTTTTGTTACCGTTATATTATTTGTCCATCTCGGTTTCTGTTGAACAGACCTTCCCGTTTCTGATACATGTCTTTTGGTTATTTGGTTATGGTTTCATTTTTTTTTGTTCTTTGGTGCCGTTTTGGAATTCCCCCCTGACAAGTGTTTCCCACCAACCTACAATCTACAGGCTTTCAAATCAAACGTTCACCGCCATCGCCATCTCTTGACATAGCCATCTTTCTCTCATATTTCTAGTTTCAATGCCGAGAAGTGGTCGTATAGGCCTTGCATTGAACCACTCCGTTTAAAAAATGTGTTGTAGATTACCCTACCCTACCCTAAGTCTAATCCAGGTGCCCAAACCCTAACCTAGTTCCAATGCAGTTCTTACATATTCCACAATGTATATAGTGAATACCCCGTGTATAGCTTTAAAATACTCGGTGGCGACTTCAACAAAGAATGATTCCAACCGTAAGAGACGACAACACTCATCCCCGACCAAACCTATAATTACCATCGTGGTTAAGCCGAACAAATACGTTACGGATATCCCTATCTTCGATATACACCTATAACGCACTGCTTTTCTTTCCTGAAATAATATCTATTTAATTTCTTGGTTAACGAATTCGCCCGCTTCATTTTTTTTTGCAAAAAAATGTAAAAATTCAGAATCAACTGCAAAATGCTCATATTTTGCCCTAAACAGTTGAAAACAGTTCCTTTCTTCCTAGTCGTTAGTTATTCCATCTTTCAATGCAGTGGTATCATTAAAAGTTCAGAATTCATTGTATAAATTTTGAACCAGCCTGGTGTGTTGACTTCATAGCTCCCATCGTACCATTTTGGGCCATAATAGGATGCCTAGGCCTGTTTTTATTTTTATTTTTTTGTCCCCCGTCCGCTCCATTATTTTTCTAGAAAAATCCGTTAACCAAGAAATTAAATTGGTGTGGCCTAAGGCCATGTTTATTTGATTATACGAATGACATCCACGCGCGTATGAATTTTCGTCCGTCCCCCCCCCAAAAAAATAACTGTAACTCGTACAAACCAGCCGCAAAGATATGCCATAAATTGCAAAAAGATATTGGAAACGATACTAATGTTGTAGAATGACAAAAATAAATTCCAATTCCAAAAGAAGAGAATGTGAAGAAAGAAAATGAAGAGTCTATTATTCGCCATACCATACTCTGTGTGTTTCGTCATTTGTTAATCTTCATGACAACGTATATTTTACGAAGGCATATTCATGTTTACCGATGGAAAACATTTTGTTTTTACTCAGTTTTTCCTCTTCTGTTCCAAACACTAACCTCTGACCTGACCAATGACATGATTTGTTGACGTCTGTCACCATGGTGACTGGTGTTGGGCTACAAAATGTTGCAATTTCATGGTCTGCTCTGCTCCTGTCACCATATACTTGTAGTGAAGGTGTTTGAGTAAAACTTAACAGGGCAGACCATGTCCGAATGTAAACATTATCCATTTGCTTTGCAGATGTTACTAGTACTTCTCTATTTTTTTCCAATTTTTTTTTATTCCCACGCTCCCATCATTTTTGGGTTTCAAAGAGGATGTCATCTATACGATTAAATCAGCATGGTCTTTTCCTGCAGACAGACAGTTTGTGTATGGTGCACATGAAACAAAGGGAATGCCCTGAGGAAAAGTATCCAGACGACGGTCTTGAGTTTATGGCTTTTGTGAGATTTTTTGCGTGGGTGGCGCATATTTCACTTGTTGAGGATTTCACCTGAACAGTACACAATTCGTCTGCAAATGTCACGGATGTTTTAGTTGTTGTTTTTTTCCTACAAAACCACTTAGGAAAAAGATTTCACCTCTGGTCTCTCAGTCACTGACGAAAGCTAGTGGATACTAACTGAAACGTCTGACCGTTTCCAAAATCATACCCAGTTGCTTGAGTAACTGCTTTTTGGCGTATCGTATTACCTAGATGTCTAACCTTCATTGACGCACTTAGGAAAAGATTACGGTATTTTTACTTTTTATGGTAGTCTCCAAAAGACCCTTCTCTGCGCTGTTATTAAAAAAAAGGAGAAATTAATTTATTTCAAACTCGTACCACAAGAGAAATTGCAACGGAATACGCAGATACTATTACATAAAGGTAATATAAATCACATTTTAAAGTATCCATTCTATAGATACATACTCTTGAAGTGCACAGAAACCTTGCGACGGTGCACCACAAAATATGTATCCCTTGATACGTCGATGAAGGTTAGACATCCAGGTAATACGATACGCCAAAAAGCAGTTACTCAAGCAACTGGATATGATTTTGGAAACGGTCAGACGTTTCAGCTAGTATCCACTAGCTTTCGTCAGTGACTGAGAGACCACTTCCAAAAAATGTCTTCACTTCATTTGCATGTCAATGAATATTTTGTGCTTATAAACCTGTATTTCTCCTTTGGTAACTGATGAAAGCTAATGCATACTAGCTGAAACGCCTGACCGTTTCCATAATCATATCCAGTTGCTTCAGTAACTGCTTTTTGTATCCCTTGTTTGACTACTGCACTAAAGAATTGTTCAAACCGTGAATTTCAAATACTCTGAAAAGCTCCCTTTCCCACAAAAACAACACCATCGCTAAAATAATTGAATGTACAGTATTTTCGCAACCCGCCGAAAGGTCTGGTGGTGACTAGACACTTCTATAGATGGCAAGACCAGATGTGCCCTGTTCTTTAATGCTTTTCTTGCACGCCATTTAATGTAGTCACTACCACATGCTTTGCCTTTTACCTTATGTAAAAGCACACACAAAGCTAAGGCTGAAGAAACAGTGATAGTGCTAGCTAGAGAGGAACATATGAAATATTGTATTTTAGTGGACAGGAGATTTTGTCCCATTTGAGTCTATCTGCATCTGTTTTCTAAGTCTTTTTTTCGCTCATTAGGCCAAACCGTCTTAATTTTATGGATGACATCCACGCGCGCATTGAAAAAGAAAGATCACATCTGGCCTGGCTCTAGACCTGGGTAGTCCATGGTAGTTAGCGACAATACGGAGCCGGTGGTAATTCTGGAGGATGGCATTGATGGCACTAAAGCTCCACGACTCAAGAACTCAGTACATACGTACAGCTACTAGTGCCGTTTCATAAATTCCGCAAAAAGCCAGCATATGCCGGCTTGTCGTATACGTCGACGTCGCTATGTACTGCTAGAAATTCACAATACCAGCTTTGTATTCCTGTGGTTTGGTAGCATTTTTATTTTTGGCCGGAATTTTGTTTTATTCGCCCGCTCGCACTAGTTTGGGGGTCTTCAGAGGATGTCATCCATAAAATTGCCTTATATTGTAAGAACAACGAGCATACAGCAATATACAGCATGAAACAGGCAATGCTTTTGTCTCATTGTCGTTTCTAAATGAATCAGGCTTGTTGTGCCACGGACCGTGCTTTATCCAGAACCATTTTCAGGCATGGTTCTGGATGGTCCAAGCGCATCCAGAACGTACCGTGCCTGGAAGCAAATCTACGTTCTTGGATATACGCGACGACTATCCAGAACCGTGCCTGATCCTAACCTGAACCCATTCAGGTATAGAACTGGATAGGCACAGTTCTGGATACGATAGGGATCGGGAACGTTTGTCCAAAATAGCAACATTTGTAGCACGTATACCAGCAACGTCAATACTAGGTCAACATGCCATATATTTACCTATATATTTCAGTCACCCACTTGGCACTTACAACGATATATAACTTCTTACGCCCAATGTTGTTTCTGCGCTAATGAACAAAAGAAGCGAGCAAATATAATAAACCACACGCCAAATGGACGCCAGTTTTTTTGTTGCATTTGTCCTCTTTCCATCCTTTGTTTTCTGCGAACGGAATTTGGCAATAAAGTTGTAACTTCGCCACTTTTCGCCGGATCTGCCTAAATTTTATTGAAATCGGTCTCCCGGCAATGTTCGATCATGACTAGCATGTCGCGACATACCTGCTAGAGAGGGCATTGTACAAGAGCCTCCACAATTAATATTTGTTCAGTAATACTCTGCTGTAAGTACCTTATTGGCGTCACACGTTCGTTATTTGTGCGTGTTTGGGTTGGGAGTGGTGAACTGGCTGACCTGGCTGCCCGATGTTGACGTTTTCGTAGCCTCTCTTCGCAAGAGAGAACGTTTCCCAAGGCTTAGTGCCAATATCGCTGTGACGAACAGTTTTGCAGTGACGTCGATGTTTGAAGTGGCGTCGAATGGCCGAGTAGCTAGGCTAGCAAAATTGAGGGGTTATGGGTTCGATTCCTGGCTCCCGACTTCGGTTGGTGAGATAAAAGGCGGTTGAAGGAGAGGGATGGGCTCCGCCTTCCAATACCGTGCCCATACCGCCTCCAAAAGCTCTCTCTCTCTATATGGTAACGATTACCAATAGCCTAATATAAGGTCATTGTGTTGTACCAGACGTCTGTCACCATGGCAACTGGAACTGTAGCAGACACCATGTTGTGTTGGATTACATTATGTAGCAAGTGGCAGGATATAGTTGGGGGAGCTGGTCACCATGTATATGAATGTATGAATGTTTTTGAGTAAAAATAAACTGCAATTTGTTGGGCTAGACCGTGTGAATGTACCCATTACGATTTTATTTGCACATTTTCATATTGATCAATGAATAAAAAAATGAAAGAAAAGGATATACAGACATTATGTAGCAAGCGATAGGAGTTAGTCACCATGAATATGAAGGTGTTTGAGTAAAAATAAACAGAGCAGTGGTTTGTTGGGCTAGACCATGTGATGGTAAACATTACGATTTTGTTTGCTGTGTCTTTCATGTTGATCAATGAATAAAGAAATAAAAGAGAATGAAATAGAGACATTGATTTTATCGCTACAGAAAGATGGAACGGTGGTTTCGCCAAGCAAGAAGATTTCAGTCAGCGGTGAATACATACAGGTAGGTCTGCTGTTATTTCACTACTGTAATTCCAGGAAAATGACCTAATTGGCTAATAAGGCTGAATGAAACGTATTAATTTCAGGAAATCAATGTAATTTTCCTGGGATTCATAGTTGTCATACAGCCCTATGTTGGCCTAATAGGGCTGTATGAAAACTATCAATTCCAGGAAAATTAAACATGATAAGGCTATGTGAAACGATCAATTCCAGGAAATCAACAAAGCCAAGGTTGACCTGATAGGGATTTACGGAAATGACTAGTTCCAGGAAAATGACCTTATAAGGCTGTATACGTATAAAACGATTGATTCCAGGAAATCAACAAGAAGATCTCCACCTGCACCACCAGCTTCCCGGCAACAAAGGTTCATCCCGATGTCGAGAGCTCGGAAGGAGGGAACGAGGGAAGAGCTGGTGAAAAAGACGGCGTCGCCAACCCGCCAAATTTCTTCAACCACGTCGGCTACATCTACCGCGGAGTCATCATACCGACACTAAACAACGCCTTCAACTCAGAAGAGCTAGAGACTCTCTACCAGCACTACTTTCTCAGGCAGCGCCAAAAATCGCTAATTTTCCTAAACTTTATCGACATTGTCAACTTTATCGTTACATTCCTGTTTTACGCCGTCTTTATAAAAGACAGGTTCACCCTAGCCAAGCAGATTCTGTTTCCCATTTTTGTTCTGTGCGAGATTATCGTCTGCGCGCTGGTGAAGTGGAGGAAGGGCTTCGCGCGAGGATACATGCGGTACGCCGGCCTGTTCACCTGGCTGATGCTGACCTTGGAGGCCGTGTTACTCCAGGTGGACACAGGCGGTAGCCGTCCGCCGACCTTCCAGGACGGGCTGTGGCAGGGCCTGTTCACGGTGTTGGTGACGTACACGATGGTCCCCTTCCCCCTGGGGTGGGCCATTCCGGCAGGGGGGATGACTTCGCTGCTACACCTGGTCTGCCAGGCGTCCTTGGTCAAGGCAGCGTCGCCGGGAACTTTTGCAAGACAGGTAAGCCCAAAGTCTTCATTTTGACATAATAAGGCTGTGAAAACGATGAATTTACGGAAAATGACCTAATAAGGCTGTGTGAAAACGAAGAATTCCTGGAAAATGACCTAATAAGGCTGTGTGAAAACGATGAATTCCTGGAAAATGACCTAATAAGGCTGTCACGGGGGGGGGGGTTGCGGTACCGACTTCTGACGAACTTTGACCCAGTGCTGACGTCACACGTGCGGAAAAATCACATGACTACATCACTTGGGTCAAATAGCTCAGAAGGAGACTGGAAGATTCCGTCGAAAATTCCAGGGAGTCAAATTCTTATGGTTTGAATAACATTTTATTTCTCATTATGTAATTGACCAACCTCGTGTTAAGATATATGCATGCGCAGTACAGTATTATGGAGTCTTTGCTACATCGATGAAGGTTAGACATCTAGGCACATGTACTTAATATATTTAACAGAAAAGCAACGAGTGGATGGATGGATGGATGGATGGATGGATAAATGAATGAATGAATGAATGAATGAATGAATGAATGAATGAAAAAAGACGTTATGATGATAAGAATAACTCAATAGTTACGTCAGACATTGCAAAGACTCTATCAATGGGTGGTTGTCGAAAGTACTTCAACGTTGTTGTTTTTTTTTTCATAAAAAAGTCCAACCTTTGTGCCTTGAAAAACTGCACCCTCTTATTAAACTCTCCGAATATTCTAAAGAGAATCTTTCAGAGTAGCGAACCGGAGATAGTTAGGGTGGATACAAGGCGAGAAATTACGTGTTTCTGACAAAGACAAGACGCCCTTTGATAGCGTCGGCCCAAGTCCTCTCTATGGCTGTCCAATTTCAAGAGGATCTGCTGGTTTTTGTTGAGTTCACGTGGAGTGCTGTGGTGTGAATGGAGATACTTCAGATACGAGTATTACGTGGCGCTGCTAATGGCCCAGTCGCTCACTAACGACGTAAACAAGATCCAAGATCCTGCCTAATGCTGGTGTCCCTTTGTTCTTTCTCTTTAATCATGTGGTAGCGATTTTTGGATTGACTAGCTTTCTTCTTAGCTACACGTACACCCCTAACTGTTAGCCTCCGTGACAGGCTTATAGAACTGGGGGTTTGGTGGTATTCGGCTGTTTTCTGATTAGCCCAGTTCTAAGAACGGGGGTAATTCAACCAGGCCGGCCATGTTGTCTATATACCATCAGACAATAGCACATAAAAGCTCACAAAGACCCTGAAGACCCCCCCAAAACCCCCAGTTTTTGGCATGCTGTGGAGGCTACCTGACTGTAAGATCTAGAAAAGCCAGGCGGTTGGAAAATGTGACGATCTTCCACCTAAACATTTGCTTCAGCTTGGAGATCAGCTAAAAAAAAAAAGCGGATTTGCGGAAATTTTAACCACAGTAATGAAAATTAACGAAAAATCTTTATTTTCGTTACGCAACAAAGTAGAGTAAGCGACTTTCGTAAGGTCTTCTCACTTCTACCATTGTAAGGTCTAAACATTCTTTCATATATTTCCCTATTTGTACACAATAACTACAATTATTCAGTGAATGATAATAGTTCAAAACTTGGCTTGATGACGCCCATGTATATATTCAACATTTGTAGGGGTAAATTAATTTCAAAATGCATATTTCGTAGCTTTTCTTTGCTATTTTCTGTCCAAAAATGTGAATTTTGCGCGTGTCCTTGCGTCATTATACAAGAAGCGAAAGGTCTAAGATTTGGTATGGGATTTGTAATGTCGAAGTTGAAATGTATTCCATGTTTGCAAAATCTGTACAATAAGCTTGGTTTACTTTGTTTTTGTAATATCACGCTGTATGATTCCATGGTTCACTTCTAACCTTTTCCTGCTTTTCCACTTTACTTAAGTCCCAGCGAACCGTAATCCCTCGGACTTTGGCGGCATTTTGTAACCATGGTAACTGGCCTAAGGTACTGCCGTTTGACGTCACAGAAAGTGGGGCTTCTAACCAAATATGGCGGGAAACAGGTGTACATAAAATTGGTTGATGGTCGGGAGATATTTTCGTTTTATTTGCACAGGAAACAATTTTCTCATTATTGTCTACCGTTTTATTTATTTATTTCATCTTATAAACACCTGGGTGGCCTCTTCAACAGTAAATTGTTGATTTCCAAGAGGGCCCAGGGACACATTACATAAACATAAAGCAATTTGTATAAAAGTAAATTATACAATCAAGCAACATAGCTGAGAAAAATTAACAGAGATCAGTATAACTGAAAATCAGTATAACTGAAATGTCAACAAATGATACAACATATATAAATGGCTGAACAGAAATATACAAACCAAAATGTCAAAATCATAATCATGATCCACGCCACATTAACGAGATACAAATTTAGAACATATTTTTCTTGAGGCTACAATGTTATTAACAGTCTGATATCTACCTAAAGTATGTAATACTCTCATAAAACAAGTATGAGATACAAAAGAGAGGAGACAAGAAAAGGCTTTGATTTAATGTTTTGTTTATTGCTTTGATGCATTGATATGTGATGTTGGCTGTGTATATGTGATGTTCCCACTGAATCAAAAGCATCTGTACAATGATTGAGTCAAAATTTTGAAATGTAGGAACCTTGTTTTTTCGGCCTTGTTTTTTTCGCTCGCTCGCATTAGATTTGGAGTCTGCGGAGGATGTCATCCATATAATTTACGTGCTGTGGCCTTAGTAAGATATCTGGAGCTGCATACTAGTAGTTCGCATTATTCAACCTGTTACGACCGTTTACGCCCTGTGGGGTTTTAAAATGTACAGAGGCTAAATGACTAAAAGAGCTTTGATTCAGGCAGTCAGAACCAGTTTTGCCCGGTATGTGGGCTTCGTCAAGTGTACGAAGATTGTAATGGCTGTAAAAGGTTCTAAACGGGAGCAATGGGCCTCCAGATGTCTTACTGAGGGACGACTGCTGCGTGATAGATGTCGGTTGGCTTAAGGAATGAGTCCACTCTACTTTAAGATGCCCGAAGAGTGTTTCCCTCGATATCTCAGTTTAGGCCCCCTTTCCACAACGAATTCCATAGATAAGGGACGTTTCGTGTGTTTTCTTGTCTTTTAATCATACTCTTATATCCTGCATCGAGGCCCGTTTTCGAACTTGACCTTGGCCTCCAGAATGGTAGCTTGCCTACCAAAAATCATTAACATCTTTTTAAATATACTCAAGTTATTTTGCTAACAAGGCACAAACACAAAAGGTCCACTGCAGTGACGTACGGACCCCCCCCTCCTACGAAGCCCAAACGTGCACTTAACGTCGGTCTTAACAGCGGTAATCTTCCTGCCAAAAATCATGGACGTCGAATCATGCCTTCAGAAGTTATTCCGCTAAATCCGCAGTCACCCACAATACGGCGAGACAATTTCATAGTCTTCCTGACGAAGACAATCAAGGCTCAAACAAATCAAAATTTGGTGGTCTTACGGTCACAATGTGATCGCCGCCATATATATAGTTAAAACAGGGCCTGTGAAGATGTCACGTATGGGTCCACGTGATACGGAGCGTAAGCAACTCGATACAGGAAAGCACATCTATTAAAAGGCTAACCTTAAGTGGGGTATTATGTCCGAGAGGATCTGCCAACCGTGTATATCCAGAAGATGCATTAGACGTTGTTTGTACACGCTTATGCAGCGTGCTTATAAGCTTTTTATGTTGTAGGCGGAAGATGTTTATTTGTTCGCAAGGATACTTGGGAGTAGTCACAAAGGTTTTTGACCGTTCCACATGCAAACACACGTGCACATGGTGCTGATAAAGATGAAAGGACAAAGGACTAGTGTACGGTATGATTTTTGGTTGTAATTGGAAGAAACATGAGTGAAATGTGAGTGTGTATCGTACAACAGACTAGGAAGGGGTAAACACAAATGTTTTGGACAGCTCCATGAGCGCAAATGCTACTAATAACTACAAAGAATTCACAAGAATTCACGTCGATAGCGCCTCGATCCCAAACAACCTCCGGAGGTAGTTTCGAACCAGTTTCACCGGATCACGATTTGCCTCTGAACGCAATGTTATTAAACGCAATGTTATTCCAATGTGACTTCACCGGGTTACTTTACATATTGACCCGGTCATAGATTGCGGGGTGATATTTCGTCGATGACTTCTGACATTGATAACACGCTACCTTGCGTGTTTTTATCAAACAACAATGAATGCAGTTTAGAAGAATCGTTCTCGGACACGGTTTGAAAGCAACGTGTGGCACGTGGACCAGATGTGAGGAATGCGATTTACCCGAATCGCGGTTCAGGCGCTTCCGTGTGAACAAGGCCTTAGACAGAAGTCGTGAGCCACATGTAGGCGTTTGTACCACAGACTACGTAGGACTTCACAAGTGGTTTTTGACAGTTACACGTGCTCAAATACTGCTAGAAATGAAAATAATTCAAAAGAAAAGACATACTGCGTGATCCTTGGTTAGCTGTCCGTCAGTTTCAACCATCCGTGGGTGTATTGTACAGAAGACTCAAGTGCTTGTTACTTGTTGCTATGGACTCAAGTCTTGTTGCTATGGATGAATAAAAAGACGGAAAGGAAAAATACACACGTGCTTTTGACAGATACACGTGCTTAAATGTTGCTACGGATGAAATAAAAAGACGGAAAAGAAAGATACACGAGTGTTTTTGACAGTTACACGTCCTTAAATGTTGCTATGGATGAAATAAAAAGACGGAAAAGAAAGATACACGAGTGTTTTTGACAGTTATACGTCCTTAAATGTTGCTATGGATGAAATAAAAAGGAGGAAAAGAAAGATACACGAGTGTTTTTAACAGTTACACGTGCTCAAATGTTGTCTCACACAGATAAAAGAAAGGAGAAAGAATAACACAAAAGCCCCTCTCTTAAATAACGTTAGCATTATGTACGATCTGGCAACCTTAAAGGATGCATCAGATCTAGATGTTTGACCAAGACCTCGTTGTTGGTACAAGCCTTTAAGTGTTTAATTTTTTTTTTACTCTAATCAGAAGATACATATTGTATACCGTAAACTAAGTCTAAGTATAAAAAAAACCAACAGAAAAATCCTCCCATAAGCTAATAAAACAAATAGGGCCAAGCTATTTTTGTGAAGTTCTGAAGAAGGATGCGTTTTACGTTTCTTCCGTACGTGGTTAATCCTCCCAGGCTTAGTCTCCGTTCGGTCTCATGGATCACTTGGATTCTAAAGCCAGCAAATGTGTGTGATCTCACACTGAATAGACGTCAGAGGCAGCAACACGAGCTTTTGTAAATTTACAAAAAGATTGAAATAGTGTTCCCAAAGAGAAAAAACATACAAAGGCACTCAAAGGAAAACCACGCTTTGCTTTAAAGTCAAGTATTCAATCCATAATAGTCTCTGTTAATAAAAGGTTTGAATTATATTAATAGAGAGGAAAATTGATTTCGAATTATGAAGCAGGTTTAACTGTAATTTCCAACACAACAAATTGGACTCGCTCAAATTTTCGACTGTACAACTCCAGTCTTTGTCAAGGAATGAGCAATCCACCGCTTCCGTGACGTCACGCAGATAACACACGTGACTCCGTGAGCAGTGGATCATAGGTTACAGAAAGTCTGTGGCGCCCCCCGTCTATGTTTAGGGATAGTTGTAATGCCCTGATGTAGATTTCGAATTCTTCGTCACTACTTTGTATGGGCTGTTTTGAATGATCGGGGATATGCAGGAAAATAATAGCGGTAGACCGTTTTACAGAAAACTTAATATTCGTTCATAGCGGTATTGCTTTCTTCGTTTTGCCATTTGAACATTTGTGTGTGCCGTCACCATGTCTTGTCTTTAAATGTTGGAATTTAAAAAAATGGAGGTATGAGATCTTGGACTTCTTGTTGCCCCCGCAGCTGGTAGCGAACCTGTTGCTGTACGTGTGCGTGAACCTAGCGGGCCTCTACACCAACTACCTGACCGACCGCGCGCAGAGACTCGCCTTCCTGGAGACGCGGAGGTGCATCGAGTGCCGGGTCAAGATCGAGAAGGAGAACCAGAGACAGGTTAGACTCAGAGGTACCCTGGGTGCCAAACTAGTATCGGGCCTTTAGCCGTTTTCCTTCGGCAGCCAAGAGCCCTTCGCCCGCCTATCTAAATTAGCGCCACGGAGGAGTTGCGCCCAGGAGAATTTGTCAGGCCCTAGTTCTAGGGTAACTCAGAGGACGGTCAGCACGCGTATCCCACAATGCATTGCGGTTTCCGAACATATATACGGTTGACCGGAAGTTCCATGATCAGTTGAACGCATGGTAGCACAGGAGCAGGATCGGAGCTGTGTCGCTCCCGTCTATATCTGCGAGCCATTGTATTTTATATTCAAAATATATAACATTCAAGATCGTTAGTGTTATTAATTAACCTTCGTCTGTCGCATGTCTTCCTTGTTACATCGATTGGGGTGCTGAGACAGGCTTTTGGTATGGTAGCGGACTGGCGTAACCGATCATGGGTTAGACTGGTCTCCACCAGACTTATGAATTAATGTGAATGTTTTTCCTAATGGTAACGTTATATCATGAGATATTGGCATTTAGTTTCCTATCCTGTGCGTTGTCGTTCTAGAAACTGAGAACTTCTATGCCACCCGACAAAACCACACTGAGAAGCCAAAAAGCTTGCCATATAGAGCCTGGAGCAAGACAGTTTTACAGCATCCCCTAGCTCTTTCCTCGTACTGCATGATCTGCGACTTATCATGACTGAACTTTCCCCCTGCCGACAGGAGAGACTTCTGCTGTCCATCCTGCCACGGTTCGTTGCCTTGGAGATGATCAACGATCTGTCCAATGAGGTGGAAGATGAGGAGGTGCAGCACCAACAGTTCAGGACAGTCTACATCCACAGATACGAGAACGTCAGGTACTACTGATGGGAAGGTTTTAGGTTTAGGTTTAGGTTTATGTTTTAGGTTTTAGGTTTTAGGAATCAGTTAGAAATTCACAATAATGAGTAAAACAGGAAAATTGCAACAATTCTAAATGCCTCATGTAGGGTGAAAGTCTTTGATTTGTAGTCTCATTTACGTAATTATTATGCTTAATATCCATCAACTCCACATGTGTACCATGTGTATTATTTCATTGTTGTGATTTGTCTTGATTATTATGTGATACCCTGAATTAATTCAGCCGTATAAAGGCTGCGACTGCTCGGGTACTGTTTGGACAATAAAAAACATTTATTGTAACAAACCCCTTGGCTCAGGTATATTTATTTTATCCCATTTGTAACGGTGAGTCCAACGTTTACATCTTTTGGCCAAACAGCTACGTTACTGTTTTTTTATACCGCCATTTTGAATTCACCTGATACATATGGTTCTATTTCCCAGCATCCTGTTCGCGGACATCCGGGGCTTTACGGACTGGTCGGCACGGTCCACTGCGCAGGAGGTGGTGAAGACGCTGAACGAGCTTTTCGCGCGGTTTGACAAACTAGCAAAGGTAACTTTCTTAGAGAGAGACACAAGGTCATGACTTTTTCCTTCCATCTGGGTCTGTCTTTGCCCACCTATTTACTGATCGCCAGGATGATCCCCTTTCACGAGTTTCCCATCTCCAGAATGCATTGCGAAAACAGGGGTCTAAGCCTCATTTGCATAGGACAGGAAGGCATCGGAATGATCCTGGTGACGTTAAACAGCTTTTCATTGTGTTTTGAGGTGTTGGGGCATTTTATGCTCAACATTAATTAAACTACTATGGGTCAAATCTGACAACAAATAGAGAATGAAGTTTTTGTGTTCTTTTTAACATGGAGCATGTGGTTTGTAACGTTACAGCATCAGTATAGTGTTACCACTATAACGTTACAAACCACATATTCCAAAAAATTCATTCTTTATTTGTTGTCTGCAGATTGAACCCATTGTAATGTAATTAACGTTGAGCGTGAAATACCCCAACACCTCAGAACACACTCAAAAACAAGCTGTTAAACGTCAAAAGGATCATTCCGATGCCTTCGTGTCCTATGCAAATGAGGTTTAGACCCCTGTTTTCGCAATGCATTCTTGGGATGGGAAACTAGTGAACGGCCGCCAGGACATTCTTCAAATGTAAGGTATCTATTTTTTCGGATACGGAAATATTCTTCCTTCCCATTTTATTCCAATTGAAAAAAAGGATACAAAAATAAAACAATTATAAAAGTACAAAATGAAATAAAAAATAAGATTAAACAATAAAAAAACGTAAGATTTAAAGATAATGGATATATATGAAAATACGATGAAAATAAAATAATGATTGTAATAAAACAGACCTTGTTTTCCTAGTTGTTTTCCCGCAGGGGACTCTATACAACTCTTTAGAAGATCCATTATGGCCAGTACCACCTAAAACCCTTAAGCCTTTTCCTCGCGTAGTGTCAGGGTGCCTCGAAGGTTCCTTTGAACTTCTTCTAGTCATTTGTTTTACAGCCTTGAAGTGTGTCCTCCACATCTTATGTATGTTTCCATGACCTTGCTCTAGGCTTAGTAGGCTCTACCACTCGTGTTTTTGGAGGCTTATAATGTGTAGCCTTTTTCTGATGGCATATTAGTACCACATTATCTCTGTACTTGGTTTTATGTGCGCCACCTTCGTAGAAACGGATTGGATAGACGGAGAAAAATCACGTATAAGCCCCTCCAAAAAGCCCGAATCGTAGAGCCGAATTGAATGCTTATGGGGTTACTCCGGGTCGCTGTTGCCTTGGCTGACATTTTGGACACTTCTTCTCTGGCGAGTTTAAATTTGAGCAATATTTCTCATTCTCCAGACACATATAACGACAGACTTCTTGAACTATGGCATAAAGATATATTATCATTATGAAAATGTCAAATTATTCATTTATGAACATGATTACGTATTCACGGTTCTTACGTCACGTTACGAAATAGTTTGACTTTTCCATAAATTTGCTGGTGAATTTTCATGTTGATGTTTACCTCATCGTGTTTGTTATTTGCTGTTTTCACCTTTGTTTGTTCTTTGTTTATTTGTTTTTGCATTTAGGAAAACAACTGCCTGAGAATCAAGATGCTCGGGGACTGTTACTTCTGCGTGGCAGGGTTACCAGACCCGCGGCCTGATCATGCGCACTGCTGTGTAGAGATGGGCCTACAAATCATCAAGGTCATCAGGTCAGTGTTTCAAGGTCAACTTGAGAATTTCCTCCCAGAGAATCGGACTTATCATTATGGTATAGCCGGGCGACGTCGACCAATGAGAAGTCTCCATTTCCCATCGGTTATCAGACCGTAACACCGTAAGTGGTAAATAATGAAAAAAGTGGTCGGTTATTAGAATACACGACCACTCACTAATAACCGACCACTTTTTGGAGCGTACCATTATACTGGGGACGGGACACTAACAGCAGTAGTATATATACATTCATTTATCTATTAATCAACGTATTATAGTTTATTCTGAATAGTTTATTTGAAAATACAACATGACTAAAAAGATATAAATGAAATTTTAACAGAAAAAGGCTAAACATAATTTTTGATACCTACACTAAAACTCGTAATGTTCCAATGTCACGTGGTTACCGCAGACGAATTTGTCAAATCATATTCGCAACAATTCATCATTGACTTTTGCTGCATTTTGCAATTCTTTTTTAGAAAAGAAGGAAATTGCAAAAAATTCTCGTGGTACAACAATTTTTTTTTTATCTACAGGAGAGTCCGAGAGTCGAGGAAGGTTGATCTGGACATGCGCATTGGCATTCACTCCGGCTCCGTACTCTGCGGCGTATTGGGCCTGCGCAAGTGGCAGTTTGATGCTTGGTCCAATGACGTGGATCTAGCCAATCAGATGGAGTCTAGTGGGCTGCCTGGGTAGGTCAACGTCTGTAAGAAGACTTTTGATTGGACAGAAAATTAAATGATGTTGTGAAAGAACCTACTTTGGAAATTGTTAGGATGTCTATCCTTACCTTATGCCTACATATTTTTTTTGTATGGAATATATATTCTGTGTGGATAGTAGACCGAAGTATGGATTAAGTATGGATAAAACACAAATGGGCATGTTACGAGTAGATTAATTCGTGCATGATCCATTGTATAACCCGACTTGAATTCCATGAGATGATAAAAAAAAGATAAAACTGGATTATGAAAGGGATTTCTCTGGAAGAGTCCATTCTTCCACGACGATTAAAATTTGGAAAAGTCCATTTTTTGACAGGGATGTTATTGTTGTAGTCCATCTTTGTCTTCGTCAGAAAGACTAGGGAATTGTCTCGCCGCATTGTGAGTGACTGCGGATTTAGCAAAATAACTCTGGACGGCATAATTTGACGTCCATGATTTTTGGCAGGCAGATTACCGTTCTTGAGAGCAATGTCACGTGCAAATTTGGGCTTCGTGGGGGGTCCGTACGTCATGTTAGTGCGCCTTTTGTGGTTTGTCTTCCATGTTTTCCTATGTTTCCCCAGGAGAATCCACGTCTCGGAAACCACCCGAAGGTGCCTCGGGTCTGATTACGAGTTTGAGGACTACAGCGGCGGGGAGAGGTCCAAGTTACTCCGAGAGAAGGGTATGCGGTCTTACCTCATCAAGGCCATCGACGAGGGGCTTCTGAAACCAACCTCCAATACTGAGGTTGGTAACAATATTAATATCATACTTCGTATATATGTGATATAACAATGTGATAACGTTCGATATAGTATTCCAGGAATGTGGGCATATATTGTGGTCAGAGACATGCCTGTGGACATTCAATTTCAGGGTAGAGAGGTCTTCTCAAGGGTTTCCAGGAATGTGGGCATAGATGTGGGTTAGAGACATGCCTGTGGACATTCCATTCCAGGGTAGAGAGGCTTCTCAAGGGTTTCCAGGAATGTGGGCATAGATGTGGGTCAGAGACATGCCTGTGGACATTCCATTCCGGAGGACAAAATGCCTGTACCATTCCTAGAATTTTTGCAAACTGCACACAAAACTGTACCATTAGGCTCCTCCCTGAGACGTCGCCAAAAACTTGTGTGCCGTCACCATGTCTTGTGATTAGATGTTGGAATATATAAAAAAGCATGTCGACAGCACAATGAGGATGTTGATTCTCAAACTTTTCAAACATGTCCCCCTCTGCCAGCTGTCTCCCGCAGTAGTACATGTAGCGTGCGTAGTCCAGTAGTTAGCTATCCTGCCTCTGGACTAAGAGGTTGGGAGTTCGAATCCCGGCTGTTGACGCTCACCCGACATACACGCTACTGTTTAGGGTCGCAGTCCTTCAGAGGGGACGTTAAGCCGTGGTCCACTGTTCACTGTGCTTGTTGAAAAGAGCTAGGAAAATTTCCCTGGTACAATGAACCTGTGAATACTGTACATAGCGTCTGTCTTCTCTGTCACGACCAGTGGTAGATTAGCTCTTCATTGAGCTAAACTGGTTCGAGATCACTCTAACTTTCTTTTTTATTTTATTTTAGCTGTCTCCCGCGAAGGTCCGGCCGTCGGTCCACACCCAGGACAGCATCTCCAGTATCGCCTCCTCCATCCAGCGGGACTTCCGGGGTCGGACCTTCTCCATGACGCCATCAGAATCCTCCTGGAGCGCCGAGATGCCTTTCTCCAACATTCTAGGGTTTAAGAGCAACAGGGTAAGGTAGAAAACACCTAATTATTCTTAACTTCACAGAACAAAATACATATATTTATGTTTACCAAGGGAAAACATATTGTTTTTGCTCAGTTTCTTCCTCTTCTTCCTCTCCAAACTGTGACCTCTGACCTGACCAATGACATGGTTTGTTGACGTCTGTCACCATGGTGACTGATGTTGGGTTACGTAATGTTGCAATTCCATGGTCTGCTCTGCTCCTGTCACCGTATACTAGTGGTACATGTATGTGAATATGTTTGAGTAAGAATTAACAGAGTAGACCATGTCCGAAGGTAGACATTATGCATTTGCTGTGCAAATGTTACTTCTCTAGTTTGTTCTCTTTCTTCTCCAAACAAAAAGGTCAATGACCAGGACCAGACGGCTGTCACCATGGTAACTGTAGTAGACATCCTGTGGTGTTGGATTACATTATGTAGCAAGTTGCAGGACAGAGTTGGAGAGACTCGTCACCATATATATAAATGTATAAATGAGTAGGAATGAACAGAGCAGTATTTTGTTAGGCTAGACCATGTGAAAGTAAATATTATTACATTTTTGTCGTTTAAACTAAGTTGGCTGGCCATATGTTTCAAATTAGTGGAACGGGACTTTTTTTTTCTTCGCAGCACGGGTCCTTCTCCGTGCACGGTACCCTGGCCCTGCTGCCGTACGGGCTGGCCAAGTGTCTGCCGGTGAAGCGCGGCGTGAGCGAGGAGGTTCACCGCCTCATAGAACACTCCATCGAGGTCCGGTCCAGCGACAGGATGAGCAAAGAACACATCTCCAGGGCCACGCTCAGATTCAAGGACCCAGATGTAGAGGAGAAGGTGAGACATTCTGCTTGCTGCTTTTGTTTTAATTTAGACGTTTTAAGAATTAAACTTTAGAGTAATCCATGTTTATGTATAATCACTTTCTTATTAGAATTGTCCGATGCTATTTTGCATAAATTTGGATGTTTTCTTACTGTGGCGATTTTTTCAACCAAAAATGGCCAAAATAGCTGTATATTGTGTTTTTGACACAAAACTAACACAAAATACCCATTTTAAACAAAATAGCCTAGGACAGAAATAACCTGTATGGGGTTGGCCTCATGGAAGGTATTGTTACCGCCTGCGCGTAAATTCATGAAATAAAGGACTTGTTTTTTTAACCAAAATGTGTATTTCTAACTCAAAATCCAGGTGTAGAAAAACTGAAGTGCCCTTTATTCAATGCGTTTCAAGTACTACTAAAACTGTGTGAAGTTTTGTCGCTGTGGAACCAAGCTATCAAAAGTTACAAGCATATGTATAGAATACTACTTTTCCATAGACTTGGTGGCCTTAACCCAACCGAGGTAGTGATAACAGCTAGGGGGACTGTTCCAACGGCCAACTACCACGTGTTCATTGTATGGATTCCAACACCTGCCACAATTGTTCCCTACTTCCCAAGACATTCTGCATTTTTGGTGCAATAATACATAAATACTTCCCTCCCTTGTCTTACAGTACCACCAGTTAAGAGATGAAGTCATCAAGTCCAACATCTCCTGTGCCTTCGTCATCCTTGTCTTCATCGCCTTCGTGCAGCTCTGTATAATCCCGAGGTATCAACATGTACAGCTTGATTTAAAAACTTTTTTTGTTTTATGAAGCAAGATTAAACTGTAATATCCAACACAATAAATTGGACTCACCCAAATTTTTGACTGTACAACTCCAGTCTTTATCAAGGAATTAGCAATCCACCGCTTCCGTGACGTCACGCAAATAACACACGTGGCTCCGTGAGCAGTTGATCATAGGTTGCAGAATGTCTGTGGCGCCCCCCGTCTCTGTTGAGGGATATGGTTGTAATGCCCTGATTTAGATGGCCCCTTACTTTTTGTTCGTTTGTTTTGCATAACCGGTAAACCGCCTTTAGACGTAGCACACCAGTTTTGTCAAGTACAAGCATAGTAAGACCGGACTGTAAGGTTTGATGTTGTTGCACATTGGCCACTGAGAGCCGTTAATTTTTTTTGTCCCACAGAACGTACGTGTTGGCGATCGTCCTGCTCATGTCCCTGTTTGTCTACGTCATCGTCTTCATCATCTTCATGGCGGAGGAGTTCAAGCGCTGCTCACGGCGCATGCGCCAGCTGTCCTGCTGGTTCCACGAGACTCTGGTGGCCCGCAACAGTCTGGTGGTCTGCGCAATCGCAGTCAACTTCATGGCGCCCATCTCAAACGTGGTACGAACTGAATTTGGTTTATTACCTCCATGAAAAATGGAGGTATTGTTTTTGGCGTGTCTTTGTGTCTGTCTGTGTGTGTGTGTGTGTGTTTGTGTTTCCGTACATTTGTAGTCAGCATAACTTCGGAACGCCTTTATGGATTGTGATGATATTTGGTACGTTGGTAGGTCTTAGGAAGGAGAAGGTCATGGACAAATATGGGCCTCCTGGTGGCTGACCTTGGTACTGCAGCAGAATGTTAAATGGTATCATTGTAACCTTATTCAGGATTGTGTTCTGCTATCATTCGCCAATATGGAAATTAATATGCAAATTAATATGCAAATTTTGTCCTTTAAAATTCCAGTTTATATGTGACATCAGCACCCCATCTAACGTGACTGGGACGGAGATCAACCCCGATAGCATGCAGTGCCACTTACCACAGGTAAGTGTCGCTTATTTTTCTTGCGTGTGTTACGGCAGTTCGTCGTTTTTGTTTTTCTCTAGTAGGAAGTAGTTTCTCGGGTAGTCTCTTGCTTTTTCGAATAAGGTCAAAGACCTGTACCAGACGGCTTTTACCATGATAACTTATACTTACGAAGGCCCACAACGACACTTCCATACACCTCTTCCACTGGGCTGTGGAAGAGGTGTATGGAAGGTATATCCCTTGGCAGCGCGCTGTACTGTGGAAGGGCTGCGGAAGAGGTGTATAGAAGTGTCGTTGTGGGCCTTCGTATGTACTGTACATGTAGTAGACACCCTGTTGTGTTTGGATCACATTATGTAGCAATTGCAGGACATAGAGGGGGCTGGTCACCATGATATGTGAATGTACCTGGGTAAGAATAAGCAGAGCAGTTAGTTTGTTAGACTAGAGGATATGTGAAGGCAAACACCATGTATTTGCTGTTATTTCCCAGATTGTACCCTTCTAGTTTTTGTCTTAATCATGTCAAACCTTCAGCTGGCTATACATGCAAGTGTAGCTCTGTAGACAACCGTATGTTGAAAACAATCTTATAGTGTTCCACGGTGTCACTTAGAGACGTTGTTCCACTATGAGATATTGTGGCCTTGTACAAAGCCATATATATTACGTAAAGCTATCTTGAGTGCAGGTATAAAGTGCAAGATATGCCTGCATAGGTCAACCCTATCTCTGTCTTTAATGTTATTTGCCGTCCGAAAAAAAAATAAGCACTTAAGCTGAAAGGTTCAGTGCGAGTTTTACACCCACTTATATCTGTTACGCATTTGGTGGACTCCATTCGGGACAACTCTTAGCTTAGATGCAGTGCATTGTTTTAGGTCAGGCCACGCCCTCTTAATTTTATGGATGACATCCTCTGAAGACCACCAAACTAGTGCGCGCGGGCGACTAAAAAAATTCTGACCAAAAATGAAAATGCTACTAAACCACAGGAATACTAAGCTGGTATTGTGAATTTGCGGCTGTACTTAGCGACGTATATGACAAGCCGGCACATGCTGGCTTTTTGCGGAATTTATGAACCGGCACTGTACGTATGGTTCTTGAATCGTGGAGCTTCGGTAGCCTGGGTGCCCGGCTCCGTATTGTCGCTAACTACCATGGCTACCCAGACCTAGAGCCAGGCTAGAGCCTCAGTGGACGTGATCTTTTTTTTTTTTAGAACAGGCGAAAATCAATGCGCGCGCGGGTGTCATCCATAAAATTAAGTCGGTGTGGCCTTACGTCAGTTGAAAGAAGATCTGGTCGCATAAAAGCATCATATTTTCTGGATCCTTTTATGTACATTTGATGAGGTGTACACGTGTGTGGTAAATCTGATAATACCTTAGCCATCGCTTTTGGTACATTTTGCAAAGCCATTTGACCGACGTTTGTATATGTCATGTCGACCGCCCTGATATCAAATACAGTTTGTAGTATAAAAAAGCTTACGGGTTTCTTGATTTGTGTTTCATAAAGAGGGCTTTCGTCGTTTTTGAGAGATTTCTCTGAGACGTTTGACCTTTTCTTGTAGGTCACTCTGACCCCCGAGTCTTATACCTATACGACAAGGCTTTAAGGCTTAGATGTTTTTTTGTACTTTATACTAAGGCCACACATCCACGCGTACGCGCGCATTGATTTTCGCCTATTCTAAAAAAGATCACGTCTGGCCTGGCTCTAGGCCTGGGTACTCCATGGTAGTTAACGACAGCACGGAGCCGGTGGTAACCCTGGAGAATGGCACCGATGGCACCAAAGCTCCACGACTCAAGAACTCAGTACATACGTATACGTACGTACAGTGCCGATTCATAAATTCCGCAAAAGCCAGCATGTGCCGGCTTGTCGTATACGTCGCTATGTACTGCTGCAAATTCACAATACCAGCTTTGTATTAGTAGCATTTTTATTTTTGGCCGGATTTTTTTTTCGCCCGCGCGCACTAGTTTGGTGGTCTTCAGAGGATGTCGTCCTTAAAATTAAGTCGGTATGGCCTTATACTAATAATACAGATTCGTCCCCCTTTTCTAAGATTTTGCTAAGCTGTTTGCCGATGCTAAAAGGTCATGTTGACCGCCCCATTTACGAATTGAAGGACAAAGCTTAAAAGCTTTTTGATTTCACGATTTTATGGTTGCCGTTAGTCCACTTCCACGACGTATGGATTTATACTGGCTTTATAGATCGACAAGAGGATAGCATACACAGGGGTGCCAAAGAATTCATCAGAATTTTACAGAATTCATACGATCCTTACCAGGAAACATACGAAGTTTACGGCATACATACGATCCATTACGCGGAAACATACGAATTTTACGTTTACGTTTTTTTTTGGTCCGCCTTGTTTTTTTTCGCCCTAGGCCTATCGCATTAGATTTGGAGTCTGCGGAGGATGTCATCCATAAAATTTACTTGCTGTAGCCTTAAACAGAATTGTGCATTTGAAAGCAAAGGCTACGTAGAACAGTACAGCTATGATAATGTACCGAGATCCTTACCATCAGCCACAAAATTTTCTGCACTCTTGTTTTTTCCAGTACTTTTTCTTGTGCGGAAGCCTTGGGTTCTGCACATGCGCAGTGTTCCTGCACCTGAACTTCCTGGTGAAGCTGTCTGCAGTACTGGCGATGGCCCTGGTGGAGGCGCTGCTGATACAAGTCTCACACGGCGGGCTCTTCTACAGATACGACCAGATCATGTACCAGGCGAACGGGTGAGGCTCCCCACCAGATAGATGGACAATAGATACTACTAGATAGATACATAGAGAGAGAGAGAGAGAGAGAGAGAGAGAGAGAAAGAGAGAAAGAGGGAGACAGAATCAGAGAGACAGACACACAGAGAGAGACAATCATCAGAGAGACAGACACAGAGAGAGAGAGAGAGAGAAAGAAAGAAAGAGGGAGACAGAATCAGAGAGACAGACACACAGACAGAGACAATCATCAGAGAGACAGACACAGAGAGAGAGAGAGAGAGAGAGAGAAAGAAAGAAAGAGGGAGACAGAATCAGAGACAGACACACACACACACACACACACACACAAAGAGAGAGAGACACACACAGAGAAAGAGAGAGACAGAATCAGAGAGACAGACACACAGAGAGACAGAATCAGAGAGACAGACAGACACACACACACACACACACACACACACACACACAGAGAGAGAGACTAAAAAGTATAAAAATACTGCTTCCACTCCTTTTTCTTAAAGTAGAAAAAGAGGAGAGTAGCCAGAACAATCCAGATGATAGTCTTTCAGAACTAAGGACAGGTGTAGGTTAAAAGTTGGTGAAATGGGTCGAGAAAGAAGAGACTGTGCAGTTACATTTACTTCGTGTAAAGTTGTTCTCGTCGCATTGCACAAAGTCAAAGACAAGTTAATAAACCATGCTTCACTCTTTTCCGGATAAATCAACAACAATAATGTGTACACGTTATATGAACAGTGTATTCTATCGAGTGTATGTAGGGCTGACGAGTTCGATCGAGTGTGTTCTTCAGAGTCTGTTCTATCAAAACTGTGCGATCGATCGAGTCTGTTCTTTCGAGTGTGTTCTATAGATTGTGTTCTATACACGTCAGACTGTTCTATCGAGTGTGTTCTATAGAATTGTGTTCTATGTAGACTGTTCTATCGAGTGTGTTCTATACAATGTGCTCTATATAGACTGCTCTATCAAGTGTGTTCTATAGAATGCGTTCTATATAGACTATTCTATCGAGTACTAGTATGTTCTATGCTGGATGTGTTCTATATAGACTGTTCTATTTAGTATGTTCTATAGACTGTGTTCCATATAGACTGCTCTATGGATATCGAGTGTGTTCTATACAATGTGTTCTATATAGAATGTTCTATCGAGTATGTTCTATCCTGGATGTGTTCTATATAGACTGTTCTATTGAGTATGTTCTAGTCAGACTGTGTTCCATATACACTGCTCTATCGATATCGAGTGTGTTCTATACAATGTGTTCTATATAGAATGTTCTATCGAGTATGTTCTATCCTGGATGTGTTCTATATAGACTGTTCTATTGAGTATGTTCTAGTCAGACTGTGTTCCGTATAGACTGCTCTGCCGATATCGAGTGTGTTCTATACAATGTGTTCTATATAGAATGTTCTATCGCGTTTGTTCTATCCGTTCTATGCAGTGGAGACGGGGCGTTGGTGGAGCTGACGTGGGTGACTGTGGTTGCCATGGTGATGTTTCTGTTAGCAGTGTTCTACCACGGTAGACAGGTGTGTATTTTTGTACATGTATCACATTTAGGCCACACCAATTTAATTTAATTTCTTGGTTAACGGATTTTTCTAGAAAAATAATGGAGCGGGCGGGCGAAAAAAATAAAAATAAAAACAGGCCTAGGCATCCTATTATGGCCCAAAATGGTACGATAGGAGCCATGAAGTCAACACAACAGGCTGGTTCAAAATTTAAACAATGAATTTTGAACTTTAAATGATGCCACTGCATTGAAAGATGAAATAACTGTAACAACTAGGAAGAAAAGGACGGTTTTCAACTGTTCAGGGCAAAATATGAGCAGTTTGCAGTTGATTCTGATTTTTTTTTGCAAATCAGAAAAAAATGAAGCGGGCGAATCCATTAACCAAGAAATTAAATTGGTGTGGCCTAAAGAAAAACATGACTGGTTCCATCCTTGTCACAAATCTTCAAAGACTACCATTTAAGTAGTTGTGAAATATTTGTCAGCATGTACTGTTTATTACAATATGCCCAATGTTTATTACATTTTCGCAAGTTTCTATTCTTTTTTTTCTGCAGCTGGAAACAAACGCCAGACTAGACTTTCTATGGAAGTTACAGGTAAGTCAACTTGAACATAACAAATAGTCTTGCAAAACGTTAAAATTTGAAATTTTACAAGTTTTAAAGTTCCTACAGTTTAGATGCTTTAAGTTAGATTATGGACATAATGCATCACTGAATAATTCACCAGGTTCTGTCAGAAACTGTATAAGAATGTTCTTTATTCATCAACCAAATGGGTTTTTTTTATCCGACGTATTGGTGACTGCCTGACAGCTTGTTTAATCAATGGTTGTGTTACTCTATGCAGAGTAAACAGGAGCTTGACGACATGAGTGACCTGAGAGAACACAACAAACAGCTGCTCCAGAACATCTTACCTGAACACGTCGCACAGTATTACATGGAGAGGGAACGGGAGGACGAGGTCAGTACCGCACAATCTGTGTAGTTACCTTCTGGGACGGAAGTATTGTTTCTGGGTGGCGCTCATTCATGCTGGGTTTGAATGTTTGGATTCGGGACGGAAGTATTGTTTCTGGGTGGCGCTTTTTTTCTGCTGGGTTTGAATGTTTGTATCCAGGACGGAAGTATTTTTTTCTTCATCAACATATAATGCAATAAAAAGGACTTTGTAGCGCTGCACTCAAGTTTTTTAAAAACTTATTTTAACAACGTTAAACGCCATACGTTTTGTTTCTGGTTGGTGGTTATGCATGCTGGGTTGCAATGTTTGGATTCGTGATGGAAGTATTGTTTCTGGGTGGCGCTCGTTCATGCTGGGGTTGAATGTTTGGATTAAGGACAGAAGTATAATATTGTTTCTGGGTGGCGCTCATTCATGTTGGGTTTGAATGTTTGGATTCGGGACAAAAGTGCTGTTGGGTGGTGTTAATTTATGTTGGGTTTGAATGTTTGGATCCAGGACGAAAATGTATATGTTTTGTTTTGAGTGTCGCTAATTTATGTTGTGTTTGAATGTATGGATCCGGGACGGAAGTATTGTTTTGGGTGGCCCTAATTCACGCTGGGTTTGAATGTTTGGATTCCAGACTTGGAGGGATAGTGTGATTGTCCATTCTAAACAAGGGCCCGTCTTAGGTCTAGGTTTTACCCATTTATCTTGTAACTACTTTACTATTTCTCTGGGGTTTTTTGTATTGGACCTGTGTTTTTAATCAAATCAATTGTGCACATTTTAGTGTCTGTGCTGATATTTTCAATTGTGAATCGTGCAATAGATATTATACAAAAGACGAAAGGAAGGTTAACCGCTGTACTTGCCGACAGGAGCTGTATTCCGAAGATTACGACAACGTGGCCGTCATGTTCGCCTCCATTCCGAACTTTGCCGAGTTCTACTCGCAGACGTTCCACCAGGGGATCGAGTGCCTTCGTCTTCTCAACGAGATCATCGCAGACTTTGATGAGGTAAGCCTCGGTCACAACCCGCCGTGCGTGCTTTTTGTCCGTACGTTTTATTGGGAGGCCACGTATTTCCAGACTAGGGCTTCACAAAAAATCAATGATATTTCTCAGAATATATATAATAATGATAGTAAATACTTCAACTGTAGCATTTTCTCATATTCAAAAATGAAAAATTTTAAACTGATTTTTCATTATTTTTCGAGAATTTTTATACTTATGCCGCCAGCCATCCGAATCATTTGGTAATTACTTCATTTTTAGGTAATTTTGACATTCCTTTGTTCTCTTAACTTAGCTGCTCGGGGAGAAGAGATTTGCGGAAATTGAAAAGATCAAAAGTATCGGCAGTACCTACATGGCAGTGTCTGGACTCAGCAACAAGAACAAGGTGAGTCTAAATAAAATGTCTAACTCTACGTACGCGTCTACTTGTGTAATGTATCATATATGCGTGTTATATTTTCCGAAACATATTGTTTTTGCTCAGTTTCTTCCTCTTCTTCCTCTCCAAACAGTGACCTCTGACCTGACCAATGACATGATTTGTTGACGTCTGTCACCATGGTGACTGGTGTTGGGTTACATAATCTTGCAATTTCATGGTCTGCTCTGCTCCTGTCACCATATAGTAGTAGTACATGTAGGTGAATATGTTTGAGTAAGAATTAACAGAGCAGATCATGTCTGAAGGTAAACATTAAGCAAATGCATAATGTTTACCTTCAGAGCAGATCATGTCTGAAGGTAAACATTATGCATTTGCTTAGCAAATGTTACTTCTCTAGTTTCCTTTAAATCATTTCAAGTCATAAATCAACTTCTACCAACCGTTGTGGAGTTTTGTTGTGAATAAGTGTGTGATTGGGCCCTAGCCCTGTTGTAATACTGAGTATGTTATGTATCTACTTCAGGAGTGCAGTGACAAGTACAGTCACCTGGTGGCGCTCGCAGACTACGCGCTGGCCATGCAGCAAGTCCTGGAGGACATCAACACACATTCCTTCAACAACTTCAGACTCAAGATAGGTAAAACCAGCAGTTAGACTATAATATATACTACCAGTTATGACCCTAGTACTAGTAATGTACTGGGCTACTGTAGATACGTGGCAACTATAGACAGGATTCTTAATGCTTGGGTTAATGACAAGACTGGCAATGAAAACATACATTGTCATGGCGACGGTGGTTGCTGTTAGGGTTATTGTTTGCATGGCACTGCCATCATTTCATGATTTTGAGGAAGACTTGGTACCTGTTAAGTCTAGACAGATACAGCGCACTCCTCCCCTGAGTGTATAGTGAACGGGCCCCGGGGTCACAGGAAGTAGGGCCATCCGGGGCAGAGCGGTATACCCAAGGGTTTGCAGGAATGTGGGCATAGATGTGGGTCAGAGACATGCCTGTGGACATTCCATTCCTGTGGACAAAATGCCTGTACCATTCCTAGAATTGTTGCAAACTACACACAATACTGTACCATTAGGCTCCTCCCTGAGACGTTGCCAAAAATTATATAAGGAAGGACTTAAATTAATTAACATGGTCAAACTAGCCAGCCCTTTGCAGAGGTGGTGACTTGATTATATTTTCAGATAGATCTAATAGATCTAGATGTACTACTTAGTATAATACAGGTCATTGTTATAACGAAAAGCTAAAATGCTTTCAGCAACCAAGTCTAAATGAAGTTAATATATGTTTAATAGTGTGTCTATTAGTCATTGTTCTTTACTTATATAACGTAGCTTATAACTTTCTGTGCACATTTTTTTTACTGAAATAGGTGGTCAGGTTTTCTCTGGGTTGTCTGTCTGTGCTGTCCCGTTGCAGTTTCTGTACGTTTCGCTAGAGGGGGTGGCTGAGTGTTCTTGATGTTTTGCCCAGGTCTAACTCACGGCCCGGCGGTTGCCGGAGTGATCGGCGCCCGGAAACCACAGTACGACATCTGGGGCAAAACCGTCAACCTGGCCAGCAGGATGGACAGCAATGGAGTCACCGGCAAAATACAGGTATTGTTTCTGGGTGGCGCTCATTCATGCTGGGTTTGAATGTTTGGATTCGTGACGGAAGTATTGTTTCTGGGTGGCGCTCATTCATGCTGGGTTTGAATGTTTGGATTAAGGACGGAAGTATTGTTTCTGGGTGGCCCTCATTCATGCTGGGTTTGAATGTTTGGATTTGGGACTGCAAATAACAAGAATAAAAGAACATTGAAAATGATACAAAATGACTTCAAAATCTACAAAATAAAATGTAATTGTCTGATCGAAACTATGTCTAAAACTATATCTCAAGGGTTGAACTCTTTTATAAACCACTTAAGAGGGGATATTTTTCCCTTTATGAAATTGGGCCCTTGTATTAAATTGACCATAAGATAGCTAAAATTGTTTCTGTGACAGGTCCCACAGGAGACCTACGCTATCCTAGTGACTCGAGGGTTCAAGTTCGAGTGCAGAGGCGACATCCACGTCAAGGGGTTCGAGGATAAAATCCGGACGTACTTCCTGGTCGGTAAGGACAAGTGCTACAGCAGGTTATCCGGAATTCCGGTTTCCGGGCTGAAGAGAACCGGTGCAGCCCACACGACTCTGGCTACAATCGTGTGCGGGTTAGTTCGCTCCAAACACGCTCAAGCCAAACGGAGCCTGGAAGCCGAGAAACGAAAAGCGGAAGAGAAAAGCAGACACTCCGCGCCCATCATCACCACAGACTCACCCGCCTTTAACGGCCATACCAGATTACCCAACATTCCCCACGAGCACGTGACGAGGCCCACCCTCGACCTGCCGCAGGGCACGCCGGGATTACAAATGACTCCTCTGCCACCAATCAGAAGAAAGCCCGGCGTTGTGGAGATCACGACTTCCGGAGTATAAACTATTTCTGTACGACTTGAACTTCCAACACATAAGAAAATTGGGACTTACCCAAATTTTCGGTTAACTCCGTCGATCAGCCTTTGGACCCGTCTACCTCCGGGACGTGACGTCGGAACACGTGAGGGCCATGCGTGCCGGATAACCTGTGTCTCCCCCCGTCTCAATTTTCGTATGTTTTGGAAAATAAAAGTTTAGCCATTCGTCATGTTGATGAAGTATATCAACACAGATAAACTTTCGTGCTAAAACAATTTCTGTGTTGTGAGTCTCTTGAAACGTGACTGATGATTTTTGGTAGCTATCACTGTCTTTGATACAAAGTTTATCATCAAGCCTTCGACGCCATAAACATCGTGCAAACTTGAGCAAGTGCAGAATCGAATCTCCAAGCAGATGTTGGATGGAGGATCGTAACGTTTTCGAACTTTCAAACCATATTTGGTACTTATGAAACAAAGTTTGAACTGCAATATCCAACACAAAAGAAATTGGACTCCAAATTTTCGACTGTATAACTCAGTCTTTGTCTATTTCTTGTGTTGGAAATTATTGCTGTTCAAACTTGTTTCACTATGACGTCTACCAACACAGATGAACTTTCCACATTTTTGGTACTGTCAGAGAAGTGCAGCCATCAGAATACTTTACAGTCTCCAAGCCCAACATTTGCTTGGAATTTATTAGTGGTTCCGAAAATAATTTCATCAGGTTGGTGAAACCAACAACTTGGTACTTGTATGACCTAGGATGTCGGAGTTGTCTTTTTTCTTAAAGAAGTACTAGAGACCAGAAGGGAGTGCTATATTATTCCGACAGACATTAATTCAATTTTTGCAAGAGAAAAATACATTTCATTGTACAGTGTACAGTTAAATACCCACAATGCACGCAAGTCTTAAAACGCATCGAATCCAGGACAAACCCAAAAATACCATTTAAACTATCCCAGAATGCATCGTGCTACCCCTATTGCTCTATGTTTTGAATAAGAAAGCTATGTTACTTACCTAAATTCGGGGCGATAAGGAAAAAAAATCGTATTATTTTGTGATCTTTTATATCTTGATAACAATAAATGGCCTTCTTGGCACCCTTTTCGCCCGTCATTTATGCCGAAAATATAGGCATTAAAAATCGGCGTAATCTAATTACATTTTCAATTAGCGGTGTAATCTCATTATTTGTTAAATAAATAAATATTTACATGCCAATAGGGAAAATCAAAACACGCAGAATAAAGCTGGTTGTGGCTCCCTACATTAGACATCCCGATATTATAGCATCCAAGCTAGCTATAGAGATCGAACAAAGTAAAGTAAGTAAATTTTTAATAATTAACTTATTGGTGTGCTTGTCTCTTATAGTTTTAGTAAAAAATGTTATATTCACTTGAAGTGTTTGAGCATATCCAAAATTTTCGGATGTGTCAATTGTGGCTCGCCATGGGGGAAAATGATATCGTTATTGGTGTCGATTTACAAACATGCGCCGCACAACTCGCACAAGCGAAATTCTGCAAAAAAAAGTCGGCTAGTTATGTATTCACTGAAGCAGAATCTTTGGGAAAATAGCACTCCCTTCTGGACCTTAGTACTTCTTTATAAGCTCTGAGGACGATGTGTGATAGGCATCGAAGAGTAAACAGGTGAAAAACATTATTGGTTGTGCAAAAGAAAACTCCAACTCACCAGTTTCCCATCCCCAGAGTGCATTGCGAAAACAGGGGTCTAAACCTCAAATACATAGAGCAGGAAGACATCGGAATGATCCTGGTGACGTTAAACAGCTTGCTTTTCAGTGTGTTTTGAGGTGTTGGGGCATTTTATGCTCAAGGTTAATTAAATTACTATGAGTTGAATCTGACAACAAATAGAAAATGATTTTTTTTATAACGTTATCGTGGTAATGCTATTTTGATGCTGTAACGTTACAAACCACATGTTCCATGTTGAAAAGAACAAAAACTTCACCACACCAAGATCATTCCTATGCCTTCCTGTCCTATGCAAAGGAGGTTTAGACCCCTAATTTCGCAATGCATTCTGGGGATGGGAAACTGGTGAATATCCTAGTTACTGGTACTTCTACGATGAATACAGTATGTTCGACTGATTGGGGCCTTATTGCAAACAGGAACACTCTAAACCTTGCCATCACCTGTTCTTGTAAAGCATCCACTAGCAGAAAACGCACATTCTACTGAATCGCACTTCATTCTGTGGGTCCAGGAAATATTCAAACTCGAAATTTGTATATATAAAGATACTGAAAATGTATAAACAGAGCTTTGTTGGTTATTTATCTTTCCACGTGTATATTGTTAAATTTGTTGAACAAGTGCGTGCTTCGACGAGCTATGTGCAATAAAACAGAATATTTTACTTGGTCTGATGCTGTCTGTTTGTGCGTTTTTATTCTAAATGAAACGTTAATGAACCAATAACTCAGAGCAACGTGCGAGAAAAATCACTACAATTTGCATGTTGCAACAGACGGTCTCACAGCGCCACCTAGCAACATTGGTTTATACTGCAACAAGTCCCTCAGTAAACAAGCGAGAGAGTAGTGCACTAGTAATGTGCCGGCCAAATATGAGCTGTCATTTTTCGGCATCTTTCCTTAAAAAATATTAAACGTCTTGTAACGGTTAAGACACTCCCTATCTTCGTTAGAATATTCCTTTCGGTGATGAAAGGACAAAGGAAAAATATTGACGTGATTGCGCTTGTTTAGTGGGAATAAAATCATTACAAACTTCAAGGTGTATTTTGCTTATCATGACCGCACGTTGACTGCGTCTATGATGTATTGTAATAAAAGTGACATGGTCTCAATTTAGCGCCGCCCAGTGGCTGGTGAAAGTACAGCAGCCATGGACTTCCATACACGGTAGTGGCTGTTTTAGCCCCACGAAATTCGTATCTGGATTGCTAAAATTGGTCAAATGCAACAATATAGAGTGTAATCGGTGTAGTCTACGTAAAGCGTAATCATATGATGCCTGGATTTAGGCGGAGCAAGCTTGTCCGAATGCAACATAACATACATGTATAACGTTAGCCGCAGCCGTTGTGAATTTGGAATAAAGCGTTTACAATACGACCTCTAATTTCCTCAAAAGCATATCTATTTTTTCGTAGGATTCGTCCAACCTTTTTACAAGTTCCTGTATTTCATGGACGCTTAAAAAGCGAGTGCGCGTGTGGTGTTCACCACACTATGTGTTTAACATTGTGCGGATGGCGTTCAGCACCAAGGACAGGCACCGTTTACACGTAAACTTGTTGGAAAGAATGCCTGCAAGCCTGGGGCGTAATCGGCCGTTTTGATATTACATAATTCGTAGCCAGACGACTAAATTGTTCATATACAACAGCATATAGTGTATGTAATCGGTGCAGTCTATGAAAAGCGTAAATAAGCTATATTAGTGCCTGGTTTTCATGTAGGCGGAATCAACTTGCCCGAATGCGACGTAACATGTAGCCGCTGCCATTGTGAATTTATCGTGTACGCGTAGACCGTTGACAGTTCCACTTTTACCTTCCTTAAGTGCACGCCATTTTTTCTGTAAGGTTTGGCCAGTTTCAACAAGTCCCTGTACTTTACGGACGCTCAAAAAGCGAGCGAGCGCGCGTGGTTTTCACCATACATACTGTGTGTTTTACTATGATGATGGCGTTCAGCACCAAGGACAGGTACCGTTTGCATTAGAAACATGTGGTGCCGAGGCTGATTGAATTAGCAGATTCCGGCTACTATACTTCGACCAAATTGAATACTTATTGCTGCTGACACTGCCTGTGTGTTACTTTGAAACAAACTAGTCCGAAATTTTCAGCAGAGAGTCATTATTTTTCTGTGGGGATTGATTTTTGGCGGTAAAGTAGTTGTGGTTATCAGGGTAAATTAGACCAGCTGTTGTGCGCCCCTGTGTAAAAATCACACGTGGTACGGTCCACTCAGTCTGCGTCTGTCGGAGCCACGCGAGGAAGACCAGGAATTATTTGTCAACTTTTTGGTACATTTTCGGCTTCCAGTTCGAAAAATCTTCATTCTAACTTGTAGAAGAAAACTTTGGGGATGGTTCTAAGGCGGAGCTGTGCCGTTTTCTGGATTTTGGGCGAAGAAATGGCGGATTTCCTGACGTGGTGGATTTTGGAGAAGACGAGAAAATGGCGCCCGAAGGATGGCGGCGTGGTCGTGGGGAGGGCCGAGTTTTCACAAGGTAAGGCAACAAGCCGTGCCGTAGAATTTATTTCCCACAAACTGATAACAACACGGTTTGGTATATTCGTGGTAAATTTGTGTGATTTTGAGAATGCAACACGATAGTTTGTGTAGTTTTGTGTCGTTGTTTTTTCAATATACCTCACTGTGATATTCACTCTTCACGTCTTCTCCCAGAATATCACAGTTCGGTATTGCTACTCTTTGAGTTAAATTTTCAAGAGAAAAAAAATGGACGTTTGTCTCTGTATACCTGGTCTAATAATTTTGCCCCTTGTCTGTGAAACAGAAAGGAAACATGGGTAGAATATTTGTGGGAATTTCCCTCATGGAAAACACTAGAAATTTTGCCTATCAATATGCATGCAACATTTTTCTTCATTTGGCTCACTAGGTATTTCAGACTGGGATGAAATGACAAAGAAACTGACTTTAACTTGTTGTTTCTTGGATTTGGCAGTCTTTTTTCCTGATTAAAAAAACATGTACTTGTAACATTCAGGTTCTGTGTCAACCCCAAAATCCTCATTTTTTGCCCTAAAGTCTGATTTTTAAGCTTCAATAATTTTAGGTATTGGATAGGATTTCTGTAATGTTGTTACATGCATCTGATTTGTTTTTTGTTTAATCGTAGAACCAACTAATTAAACATCAAACATTCTCAAGTTTATGAAATCAAAAATACACGTAAACCTGTAAAATACATGTAATTTTATGTACATGTGTAAAGTTAGACTAAGGCCACACCAATTTAATTTGTTGGTTCTCGGATTTTTTCAGAAAAAATATGAAGCGACAGGGCGAAAAAAATAGAAATAAAAACAGGTTTAGGCATCTTATTATAGGCTTAAATGCTATGGAATGAGCCATGAAGTCAACACAAAAGGCTGGGTTAAAATTTAAACATTGAATTTTGAACTTTTAATCAAACCACTGCAATGATAGATGGGAAAACTGTAACAACTAGGAAGAAAAGGACTTTCCTCAACTGTTGGGGGGCAAACATGAGCATTTTTCAGTTGATTCAAAATCAGAATCAAATTTTTTTATTTTTTTTGCAAATCAGAAAAAAAGGAAGAGGCGAATCCGAGAACCAACAAATTAAATTGGTGTGGCCTAAGTGTAATATTCACATACATGACATTGTGTTAAATTAAACCAACTGTACAGAGTACCCTTGAGTGTCTACA